GTTCGAAAAATGCCTTCCTACTCGCATAGCACCATGCACAATGTTATCCCTGCTCATCAATTTGGATTTCGTCAAAACCATGGAACAATCGAACAAGTTAACAGAATAACATCAGAAATACGCACAGCCTTTGAGCATCGGGAATACTGCAGCGCAATATTCCTCGATGTATCCCAAGCCTTCGATCGAGTATGGCTAGATGGCCTCATGCACAAAATCAAAGCACACTTACCTGATTACACTCACAAGCTTCTTGAGTCGTATCTATACAACAGGTACTTCGCAGTAAGGTGCAATACAACAACATCCGACGACTACGTTATCAAAGCTGGAGTCCCGCAAGGAAGCGCGCTAGGGCCTACTCTGTTCCTCCTATACACAGCGGATATTCCCACGAACGAGCAGCTAACAACATCTACGTTCGCTGACGACACCGCAATTGTAAGTCGCTCGAGGTGCCCAGGCCGAGCCACAACACAGCTAGCAAACCACCTCCTCGTAGTAGAGAGGTGGCTATCTGATTGGCGGATTAAAATAAATGAACAAAAGTGTAAACACATAACGTTTACTCTCAACAGGCAAACATGCCCTCCACTATTATTGAATAATACGCAGATTCCCCAAGTCAACGATGTAACGTATCTCGGCGTCCACCTTGACAGACGACTAACCTGGAGAAGACACATCGAACGCAAGAAAGTACATCTAAAACTAAAGGCCAGCAGCTTCCACTGGATTCTTAACGCTCGTTCGCTCCTGCGTCTGGACTACAAGGTTTTGCTCTACAACTCCACTCTCAAGCCCATCTGGACATATGGCTCCCAGCTATAAGGGGAACGCCAGCAGAAGCAACATAGACATTATACAGCGCGTTCAATCGAAAATCCTGCGAACTATCACTGGGGCACCATGGTATATTCGCAACCAAAACATCCACAGGGACCTAAGCATTCCTACCGTAAAAGATGAAATAGACAAACAAAAAGCGTTCTACAACGAAAAACTCTCTGTGCACCCCAATCGCCTCGCAAGAGGCTTGACTTGGGTTTCCAGCCGATCCCGTCTACAACGCAACGACCTGCCAAGCCAGCTATAACTTTCGGGCCCCTTTAGCACAACATCAGTCATATGACTGTGAGTTAGATTAATTAGTCTAAGATTTGATACACTTATTGTTAGTATCCAAAGGGAGAAGATTCAATAAATAAACAGCAAAGCATTTAAAAAAAAAAAAAAATTTTTATTTTGCGAAGGTTTACAGAAATGGAAATCCTGTTCATCTTTAAAAGCCCATAACTTGGTCAAATGAACTCGGAATTCGATATGGCGTACTTTTATGGGCTTGTGGAATGATGATATTGTTATCTGCATTAATAAATATATAACTTTAAAGGTAGTACAAAACATTACCGTTTTTATGTCATTGATTTTAATTTTGCGAAGGTTTATAGAAATGGGCCTCCTTTCCATCTTTAAAAGCTCATAACTTGGTCAAGTGAGCTCGAAATTGGATGTGGCATAACTTTATGGGCTTGTGGAATGATTATGTTGTTATCTGCATTAAAATATATAACTCAAAAGGTAGTAAAATATATGAACGTTTTTATGTCATTGATTTTAATTTTGCGAAGGTTTACAGAAATGGAAATCCTGTTCATCTTCAAAAGCCCATAACTTGGTCAAATGAACTCGGAATTCGATATGACACACCTTTATGGGCTTGTGGAATGATTATGTTGTTATCTGCATTAATAAATAAACCTTTAAAGGTTGTAAAAAATATGACCGTTTTTATGTCATTGATTTTTATTTTGCGAAGGTTTACAGAAATGGGAATCCTTTCCATCTTTAAAAGCCCATAACTTGGTCAAATAAACTCGGTTTTCGATACGGCATACATTTTTGGGCTTGTGGAATGATTATGTTGTTATCTGCATTAAAATATATAACTTAAAAGGTAGTACAAAATATGACCGTTTTTATGCCATTAATTTTAATTTTGCGAAGGTTTACAGAAGTGAGCCTTCATACCATCTTTAAAAGCCCATAGCTTGGTGAAATGAGCTCGGATTTCGATATGGCATACCTTTATGGGCTTGTGGAATGATTATGTTGTTATCTGCATTAAAACATATATCTTAAAAGGTAGTACAAAATATGACCGTTTTTATGTCATTGATTTTTATTTTGCGAAGGTTTACAGAAATGGGAAACCTTTCCATCTTTAAAAGCCCATAACTTGATCAAATGAACTCGGACTTCGATATGGCACATCTTTATGGGCTTGTGGAATGATTATGTTGTTATCTGCATAAATAAATATAAAACTTTAAAGGTAGTACCAAATATTACCGTTTTTATGTCATTGATTTTAATTTTGCGAAGGTTTATAGAAATGGGCCTCCTTTCCATCTTTAAAAGCCCATAACTTGGTCAAGTGAACTCGGAATTGGATGTGGCATACCTTTATGGGCTTGTGGAATGATTATGTTGTTATTTGCATTAAAATATATAACTCAAAAGGCAGTAAAAAATATGACCGTTTTTATGTCATTGATTTTAATTTTGCGAAGGCTTACAGAAATGGGCCTCCTTTCCATCTTTAAAAGCCCATAGCTTGGTCAAATGAACTCGGAATTCGATATGGCATACTTTTATGGACTTGTGGAATGATTATGTTGTTATCTGCATTAATAAATAAACCTTTAAAGGTTGTAAAAAATATGACCGTTTTTATGTCATTGATTTTAATTTTGCAAAGGTTTACTGAAATGGGCCTTCTTTCCATCTTTAAAAGACCATAACTTGGTCAATGAACTCGGTTTTCGATATGGCATACCTTTATGGGCTTGTGGTATGATTATGTTGTTATCTGCATTAAAATATATAACTTAAAAGGTAGTATAAAATATGACCGTTTTTATGTCATTGATTTTAATTTTGCGAAGGTTTACTGAAATGGGCCTTCATTCCATCTTTAAGAGCCTATAACTTAGTCAAATAAACTCGGTTTTCGATATGGCATACCTTTATGGGCTTGTGGAATGATGATGTTGTTACCTGCATTAAAATATATATCTTTAAAGGTAGTAAAAAATTTGACAGTTTTTATGTCATTGATTTTAATTTGGCGAAGGTTCACTAAAATGGGCCTTTTTTCCATCTTTAAAAGGCTATAACTTGGGCTTGTGGAATGATTATGTTGTTATCTGCATTAAAATAAACAACCTTGAAGGGAGAATATAATATGACCGTTTTTACGCCATTGATTTTAATTTTGCGAAGGTTTACTGAAATGGGCCTTCTTTCCATCTTTAAAAGCCCATAACTTGATAAATGAACTCGGACTTCGATATGGCACATCTTTATGGGCTTGTGGAATGATTATGTTGTTATCTGCATTAATATATATAACTTTAAAGGTAGTAAAAAATGACCGTTCTTATGTCATTGATTTTAATTTTGGGAAGGTTTACTGAAATGGGCCTTCTTTCCATCTTTAAAAGCCCATAACTGAAATGAACTCGGATTTCAATATGGCATACCTTTATGGGCTTATGGAATGATTATGTTGTTATCTGCATTAAAATATACAACTTTAAAGGTAGTAAAAAATATGACCGTTTTTATGTCATTGATTTTTATTTTGCGAAGGTTTATAGAAATGGGCCTCCTTTCCATCTTTAAAACCCCATAACTTGGTCAAGTGAACTCGGAATTGGATGTGTAGTAGGATAAGTGTCTTGTATATATTTAAGTATAACTCTTTGTTGTAAATGTATATCAACAAGTATTTGAATGTAACGGCTAGCTGTCTAATAGTCGTTAGCATCTAAAGTATCTCCTGTTGTAAAGTGGCCAACCTGGCAACTCTAAAATGTTAAGTATCGATATTGATCGCAGCCAACTTCACGTAATCGTATGTAAAACCGACGCTATGTAAAACCAGCCTATTGCGAACAAGAAGGAGAACAGTTCAGTTTAATAAAGTGTTTAATAAGTATAGCAGTTTATACTACTATAAACTTCAGAAGTGGTTCTGACCCATAAAATGGATCTAATTGATGTCCAAAAGTTCACGGTCGTCCAGCTCAAAAGGTGGTTGGCGGCATTAAACTTGCCGACTATCGGCAATAAGGCCGAACTGGCGGCACGACTAAATGGCGTGGACCCGCTAGTTCGTGGAACTCGCCCGGAGTCCCCACTGCCGCAGTACGCTGACAACGAGCTCCTGGCTGATCGGGCTCAGGAGTTAGAGCCGGAAGATGACTTGGGGGAGGATTTCTCTGCTGAGGATGCCAACCCTAGGTCGGAACTGATTCCTGCAGCGGCTTCAAGGCCCAAGGGAGACGAGTGGTTTGCTGTAGCCGAAGGAGTGTTGTCGCTACAACAAATACGCGCTGAAATCGAAGCTGGTAAGGAGCTCCAGAACATTCTTGCACAAGTAAGAGCCGCGTCGCAAGCAGTTGGCAATGACGTCATCAACATGGCCGAAAACTGCAACCAAGCAGTGAGCAGCGAGGGAGTAAAGCGAGCGGCGAAAACTTCGAGGAAGCAGTTGGCGGAAAAATACCAAGCACCGATGGAAGTGCTGATATCGATAGCGAAACCGATATCGATGTAAGAAACAGTGTTGAGCAACAACGAGTGGCAGTTGTAAACAAAGGACTAGAAGCGCCAAATGTCACTTTCATTTGCCAAGGAAATCATCATGGATTTTGATGGATCTTCTTGTGCAAACATTTGGACCCAGCAAGTACGCAACATTGCTGAAATGTACAACCTGGATGCAGTGGGCATGAAGATGGTGATTGTGTCCAAACTGAAGGGTGTCGCTCAGCGCTGGTTGCATGCAAATGCAACGCGTATTATGGAGCCGGCAGAGAATCTTTTGGAACAGCTGATTTTAGCATTCGGCGATAAGCTTTCAAAAGCAGAGGCACGACGCAAATTTGAAGATTTAAAGTGGCATCATTCCGAATAGTTCGCGGTGTATTTTGAGGCAAAGACAATGCTAGCCAGCAGCATCAACATCGAACCGGACGAATTGGTTGATCAGATAGTCGAGGGAATACCAGCACAGAATTTGCGTGATCAAGCCCGGATCCAATGCTTCACAGATCCGATGCAAACTCTCCGTGCGTTTGCTGGTATCCGTTTGGACAAGCCAAAGGAGTTGGTGTCGAAGGAGCTGAACAGGAATAGGAGCGACAACGGAGGATTCCGCTGCGGTAATTGCAACGCCAGAGGACACATCGCTAAGAATTGTCGAAAGCCAGCAAGGGTGCCAGGATCCTGCTATGCTTGTGGCAAGTTCGGCCACTTCGTAGCCCAATGCGAGGAAAGGAAGGGAAATGCTGAAAATAAATATGTAAGGTGTATTAAAATTTATTTTGACAATCAAATTATATCTCCTATGGTTACAGCATGCATCTTAGACTCTGGCAGTCCAATTTCATTGATTAAATTATCTTTGTTGCCCAGGGAGGCCAAACTACATGAAGTTAAAGAACATTATTTTGGTATAAATAGAAGCCCATTACAAATCTATGGAAAAATTTTATGTTTTGTATTAAAAGAAAAAATAAAATGTTACTTCAATTTAACAGTTGTGCCAATGAGTCTATGATGTATGATGTGGTTTTGGGTAGAAATTTCATGGATGCTTGCGATTTAAATTTAGATTTAAGAACTTTAAAGATGATAACTGTAGAAGATATATCAAAACATAACCCGACGAGTGCTACTAGTGATCTGTCGTTGCGCATTGCTGAAGTAAATCATAATATTGAGTGTTTAGATGACTATATAACCGAGAATGTTTTGGAATTGGCGACTGAAGCTGTAAAAGCGGAACATGCAGTCGTGAAAGATCATAATAAAAGAATAGGTCACAGGGCGATGATACAAAACAATGAAACAACGAGTCAAACAGTTACGAGACGAAACAATGAAACAATGAGTCAAACAGTTACGGGACGAAACAGTAAAACAATGAGTCAAACAGTTACGGGACGAAATAGTGAAAATGACGGTCAAACAGTTACGAGACGAAATAGTGGAAATATCGGTCAGACAGTTATGAGACTTAACAATGAAAAAACGGAATGTACAAATGTAAACAGGCAACTGGAAATTGACAATTTTGAAACCGAAATACTTAATATCGACTGTACAAACAACGAAACGATTGAATTTAACTGGGACAAAAGCATTACTTATCAAATACAATGTCGTTTCTTGAAAATAATTGAAAACAGTTATGTAAAAGCAACTAGACCTGAAAAGCCAATGATTAGAGCAGAAATGAAGCTATGCCTAGATAATGCAAAACCTTTCAGTTGTAGTCCTCGACGATTATCATATACAGAAAAGGATAAGCTTCAAAAATTACTAGACGAATATTTGAAAAGCGATATAATAAGACCAAGCGAATCAGAATTTGCATCTCCGATAGTATTAGTCAAGAAGAAAACAGGTGAAATTAGATTATGCATTGATTATAGGAAACTTAACAAAGCACTGCTAAAAGACAACTACCCACTGCCACACATCGATGATTTATTAGATAAATTAGTGGACAAAAAAGTATTCTCGAAGTTAGATCTTAAAAATGGATATTTTCATGTTTTTGTAAATGAAGAATCTGTCAAATATACTTCATTCGTGACTCCACTAGGACAATTTGAATTTTTAAGAATGCCAATGGGTATCAAAAACGCACCGGCTGTTTTTCAACGCTTTGTTAATAAAATTTTTGATGACATGATTAGAAACAACAAAGTAGTAGTGTACATGGATGATATAATGGTCGCCAGCAAAGATATTTATGAGCATTTGGAAACATTAGAAGAAATATTTAAAAGGCTTACACAGAACAGATTAGAGCTTAGAATGGATAAATGTGAGTTTTTAAAATCAAATATAAAGTATTTAGGATTTTTGATTTCCGAGAATGGCATCAGGGCAGACGATAAGGGCATTGAAGCCGTAAAAAATTTTCCAGTTCCCTCCAAGGTACAGGCAGTACAAAGTTTTTTGGGACTTTCTTCATATTTTCGAAGGTTTATAAAGGATTTCTCTACAATAGCAAAACCTTTGTACGACCTGTTAAGGAAAGACAAACCATTTCAATTTGGTGAAGTAGAGATGAATTGCTTTCTCAGTCTAAAGGAAAAACTTATTGAGTCACCAGTACTAGCGTTATATAATTACAAAGACGATACAGAATTACATTGTGACGCCAGCGCTCTGGGATTTGGTGCAGTACTGTTACAAAAGAAAGATGATGGCAAGTTACACCCTGTATTCTATTTCTCTAAGCGTACTACAGCAGATGAGGCTAAATTACATAGTTTTGAACTCGAGACTTTAGCGGTTATTTATGCTCTTCGTAGATTTAGGATATATTTGCAAGGAAAGCATGTGAGACTAGTAACCGACTGTATGCACTTAAGTTAACACTTAATAAGGCAGAACTTAATCCGAAGATATCGAGATGGGCCTTGGAGATGGAAAACTATGATCTTGAGATATGTCACAGGGCTGGAAACAAAATGCAACATGTGGATGCTCTCAGCAGGTATAATAATATTCTAATAGTAGAAACCAACAGTTTTGAAGAAAATTTAGTCATTTGTCAAGGAAAAGATTTAAGAATTAAGAAGCTTAAAACCGTTTTAGAGAAAGCAGAACTTAAATTATTTGAAATGAGAAATGGTGTAGTGTACAGAAAAGCAAATGGCAATAGAATACTGTTTTACGTGCCAGAAGAAATGGAAAATCAGGTACTATATAAATACCATAACGAAATAGGACATGTAGGAAGAGATAAAATGATGGACATAATTTCAAAAACGTATTGGTTTCCAAGCTTGAAAGAAAAGTGTGTTGCGCATATAGAAAATTGTTTAAAATGTGTAGCGTTTTCACCAAAATCAGGTAAAGGAGAAGGTTTTTTGAACAGTATTCCCAAGGGAAGCAAACCATTCGAGTTAATACACATTGACCATTATGGTCCAGTAGACTCATCGAGAGCAAAAAAGCATATTTTTGTGGTAGTCGACGGATTTACGAAATTTGTAAGACTCTATTCAACTAAATCAACAAGTACTAGGGAGGTAATAACGGCATTAAAAGATTACTTTAGGGCATACAGTCGTCCAAAATGTATAGTTTCAGACCGCGGTAGTTGTTTTACGTCTAAGGACTTCGAAGAATTCATGGAAGAGTATAATGTGAAGCATATTAAGATAGCCACAGGCTCACCACAGGCAAATGGTCAAGTCGAAAGGATTAACAGGAGCCTTGGACCAATGATAGCAAAATTAATTGATCAAAGTAAAGGTGTATACTGGGACAATGTTATAGATAAAATAGAACATGCTCTTAATAATACGTTGCACAGAAGTATAAGACAACTTCCGAGTAAAATGCTGTTTGGAGTAGAACAAAAAGGAAAGATTGTTGATGAACTTAAGGAAAAGCTAGAGGACATAAATGAAAATACAAAATTAGATAGTTTAGCACAAATAAGAAAAAAAGCTGCGACCCACCAAAAACAAGTTCAAGATTATAACGAAAAATTATATAATAAAAGACGTGTAAAGGCTAAAGGGTATAAAAAAGGAGACTATGTAATGGTGAAGAATTTTGACTCGACTGTTGGGACTGCTAGGAAACTGATTCCCAAACATAAGGGACCATATGTGATTGCAAAAGCGATGCGCAATGACAGGTTTTTATTAAAAGACGTCGAAGGGTTTCAATTAGCACGAAGTCCTTATCTAGGTGTTTGGAGTGCCCAAAATTTAAGACATTGGATAAAGAATAAAAATAAAAGTAAAAAACAAAAATAAAAATGTAAAGTATAACAAGAAAATGAAACTTATGTAACCATAACCATAACCATTGATATAATAAGCATAACTTTTAAATCAATATATCTTGATCAGGTGATCAACCAGTCAGGATGGCCGAATTGTAGTAGGATAAGTGTCTTGTATATATTTAAGTATAACTCTTTGTTGTAAATGTATATCAACAAGTATTTGAATGTAACGGCTAGCTGTCTAATAGTCGTTAGCATCTAAAGTATCTCCTGTTGTAAAGTGGCCAACCTGGCAACTCTAAAATGTTAAGTATCGATATTGATCGCAGCCAACTTCACGTAATCGTATGTAAAACCGACGCTATGTAAAACCAGCCTATTGCGAACAAGAAGGAGAACAGTTCAGTTTAATAAAGTGTTTAATAAGTATAGCAGTTTATACTACTATAAACTTCAGAAGTGGTTCTGACCCATAAAATGGATCTAATTGATGTCCAAAAGTTCACGGTCGTCCAGCTCAAAAGGTGGTTGGCGGCATTAAACTTGCCGACGATCGGCAATAAGGCCGAACTGGCGGCACGACTAAATGGCGTGGACCCGCTAGTTCGTGGAACTCGCCCGGAGTCCCCACTGCCGCAGTACGCTGACAACGAGCTCCTGGCTGATCGGGCTCAGGAGTTAGAGCCGGAAGATGACTTGGGGGAGGATTTCTCTGCTGAGGATGCCAACCCTAGGTCGGAACTGATTCCTGCAGCGGCTTCAAGGCCCAAGGGAGACGAGTGGTTTGCTGTAGCCGAAGGAGTGTTGTCGCTACAACAAATACGCGCTGAAATCGAAGCTGGTAAGGAGCTCCAGAACATTCTTGCACAAGTAAGAGCCGCGTCGCAAGCAGTTGGCAATGACGTCATCAACATGGCCGAAAACTGCAACCAAGCAGTGAGCAGCGAGGGAGTAAAGCGAGCGGCGAAAACTTCGAGGAAGCAGTTGGCGGAAAAATACCAAGCACCGATGGAAGTGCTGATATCGATAGCGAAACCGATATCGATGTAAGAAACAGTGTTGAGCAACAACGAGTGGCAGTTGTAAACAAAGGACTAGAAGCGCCAAATGTCACTTTCATTTGCCAAGGAAATCATCATGGATTTTGATGGATCTTCTTGTGCAAACATTTGGACCCAGCAAGTACGCAACATTGCTGAAATGTACAACCTGGATGCAGTGGGCATGAAGATGGTGATTGTGTCCAAACTGAAGGGTGTCGCTCAGCGCTGGTTGCATGCAAATGCAACGCGTATTATGGAGCCGGCAGAGAATCTTTTGGAACAGCTGATTTTAGCATTCGGCGATAAGCTTTCAAAAGCAGAGGCACGACGCAAATTTGAAGATTTAAAGTGGCATCATTCCGAAAAGTTCGCGGTGTATTTTGAGGCAAAGACAATGCTAGCCAGCAGCATCAACATCGAACCGGACGAATTGGTTGATCAGATAGTCGAGGGAATACCAGCACAGAATTTGCGTGATCAAGCCCGGATCCAATGCTTCACAGATCCGATGCAAACTCTCCGTGCGTTTGCTGGTATCCGTTTGGACAAGCCAAAGGAGTTGGTGTCGAAGGAGCTGAACAGGAATAGGAGCGACAACGGAGGATTCCGCTGCGGTAATTGCAACGCCAGAGGACACATCGCTAAGAATTGTCGAAAGCCAGCAAGGGTGCCAGGATCC